GCGGGCGGGGCCGGGCCGGGCCGGGCCGGGGCGCCGCTGCCCTCCGCGCCGCTCCGCTGCCCTCCGCCGTACTTCCCTGCCTTCCCCCATGGGGAGGGCGGACGCGATGGAAGGGGGGGATGTTGCCTGCGTTAATAACCGCATCTGAGTATTCTGTGAAACTTGCTTACCTCCCTATGTCCGTTCAGATTTTCTTGGAAAAAGAAAAAAAATTCACCAAAAAGAAATGGATAGCAGTTCACCTGAGATTTCAGTGTATTCGTTGTGCAATTATAAATACACTACCATCTTTTCTGAATCACGTTTTACTGGTGGCTTTTTAGAGAGGCAATTGCAGATTCAGTATAAAGTTTAATGAAATATGTGAGTTGTCATTAACAGCACTGGAGATTTAAATGCCACTTTAAGTGTTTCACTCCCTCAATGACATTTGTTTTCCTTTGCTTATCGTTTACATTGAGGACAATAAGACAGGTTTGTTTGTTTATTTTTTGTGCTTACCTGTTCTAAAATCACTTAAGGAATAAAAAATGAGAAGAGTGCCCCGCAAAGGTTATAGGTATCTTCGATACAAACTGCAAAACCAACACTGAATGACCTTAAGGCAGAAAAATTCTATACCTTCAAAAGCCCAGTTCCCTACCAGACCACACAAAGACATATGCATTGCAAAATGCCCTGAGAGTGAAGAGATTTGGATTATTTCAGATAAGTGAAGTCTGCTAAAGATGAGGTCTCCGTCATAAAGAATGTTCTGCTGCTGGCTCCATTGGTTAAATCAGAGAGAATCTACCTTTAGAAGTGTATCAGGTGCAGTTAGGAATGTTTCACTTCCAAATTCTCACGTGCGGACATGATCGCACAGTGTTTGTTGCAAATAACAAAGGAAGAATTAAAATGTAACAAGCTTGATTTTATTACATTTGAAAAGCAGATGTAGTTTTTTTGTTATTATTGTTAAATAATAACACAAATTTGGAACAAAGTGTAGGGGAGCCCTCAAAAGGAAGCAAGATTAAGCAACATACATGTATTACTGCAGATAATACCTATAATTACTGATTGATGGACATTGATAAAGCAGTATACTTCAAATGATTTTCAGATTGGGAAACTTTTCTTAATAAATATACCGTTATGTCCCTAATAAGGTCCATGAAAGTTAATGACCCTGTGCAGTTTTGAGATGACTTTAAGTGTGCTCAGTTTTCATGTTAATCATGTATATGGACTTTTAATATGGCATTAATCTGCAAGAGGGCTGAGGAAAAAGAAGTAATGGCATATGGAAAACTTAAAATGCTTTCTACCTTTGTATTTTTTTGGTTTTGTTTTTTAATTGTGAACGTCAGATATAGTGTCTCTGAGCTTTCATGTAAGTGGCAGAGCTTATTCAATATATGCAACATTTCTTGTAAAATGTTCTGTAGTTCTTACTTCCTTAAGAAGGTAGATATGACTAGACGATTATCATTTTTCTTGACAGAGGAAACTTACAGCAAGCATTTGTAGAACGTTAAAAGAAGAAGGTGTCATTCCAAACTGTCAGAGACAAACTTTTCAACATGTTTTTGTGAAAATGAAAGCATCTCTTGTAAAAAAGACTTTTAGGCAGTAACTAAGAGGTAAGATAAGAAATAATATGGTGATATAGGATCTAATAATTTAAGATATTGATTACAGATTTATATTTGGAGACCTGCAGTTTTAGGGCTCAATCTTACAGACGTTTGAGTAATTTTATTCATATGAGTATTTCAGTTAAACTCAAGAAAGTACTGTTGGTGCAGTAGCACTTAACCTGCCTAGAGGTGGAATATGAAATTTTGCCATTTGCAATATACTGAAGCAAAATGCTTTGTTTGCTATTAAGCTGTCTGTTCTGATAACATATCCAAATAGTTTGTATGTAGTTATTGCTTCAAAAGCTGGTATCGTACTGGAAGTCATCAGCTTAAACAGAACTGTAGGTCCAGCAGACATTCTTTTACAATATGTGGAATCTTGAATAATGAAAAAGTTCTAGGAATTAGGCCAGCTGAAAAAAGGGAGACGTACAAAATGCTATGAAGGTGTGGAAGTGTGAGAAGTTTGCTAAAAGGGAAGGAGAGAAAGAAGTTAGGAATTAAGGGTGTTGCAGCCACAGACTTTTTCCATAGATGCTGAGTTACCAGCCTCTGAAGGTAATATCTACCTTGAGGATTTGGGGTAAAGATGCACCTGAATAAATAATCCAAGCATTTGCTTTTAACTGAAGACTCTGTTTCCATTTTATAATACGTTTTCCTTGTAGTTCTGTTTCCAAACCTTTTACTCCTGTATTCTAAAGTCTTCTCTTAAAGGCTTCTCTTGAGCTAGGACAGATATATTTTTTTTTTGGTGTGTGTATAATTTCATTGTTAAAATCTGTGTAATGTGATGGAACTAGGTGAATCAAAGTGAAACTGGTTAACTGAGTGCAGTGTTTCTATAAAAGTAACAGAATAGTATGAAATGGAATACAAACTAGAGAAAACTCTGTCCGGGTTACAGGCTTAATACCCAGGCACTGAGGGGTACATACTACAGAGCTATGGAACACGAGTGTGAGGGCTTGTATTGCTACCTTTGGGAAAGGATTTCTTCTGGTGGTCACAAACAAGTACTATTCCTGCAGATAGCAGAGTAACTTTTCCCTTCGCATGCCCATTTTGGGTGTTTTTGCTATCTTCTCTTATATCTCTGTTCAGTATTCTCTCAACTGAAAAACTCCTAATTACTTCAGTTTTTCTTTTAGGTCATCTTTTCTAGACCTCTGGCAGTTATTGGTTTCTGCTGAACATCTTCCACTTGTTCCATATTCTTTTAGTAGCGTATCCTCTATAAAAAAACATAAACATAAAAATATTCTGTTTTGAAATCTAATCTTGTCTACATCCTGACTTGTTGTTTTCTTGAGCTAGTGTCATGCACAGATTTAAGAAGTATATGCTATCATTTAAGTAATTATTAAAATAATTAATATCATTTATCAGGACAGATTGCTGAGGAGCCCCACTTCAGAAAGTCTTGCAGTTTGTCAATGAATTGGTAGTGTAATAAAGATTCTCTGAATACGGTATTCTCAAAGTAAATTCTATACAAAAACTTCTGTTAAATAAAGGAGATTGTGTTTCAGTCTGTAAATGCTGCATAAATACATAAGAATGGATGTTATTGTCTGTTACCAACTATTCCAGAACCCAAAGCAGGAGTGGTACGTATTCCTATTGTGTAGGTTTTTGTTATAAAACATCTTAGTTTTTAAGGAAAGTAAGTATTAATTCCTGAGGCTTCTAGTTTAGAAATTATCTTTTATATGAGAATTATTCATTGAAGAACGAGGTACTTTTTCCTGAATATCAGGTCAAAATACTCCTGAGTAATGTACCTCACAATCATATCACGTATACCATTTGTAATTAGCATGCTGTCCACAAACGTCATGAAAATTATCTGAGTAATATGAGTGCTAGTTTTAATTTTTAGTTTTTGATGCTTACTCTTCCTAGTCAGGAAATAATGGACAATACTTTGCCTAATTAATGAACTGCTTCATTAACTATTGTATTTTGTATGATAACTTGTAAAAGTTATTCAAGACGAACACTTGTGCACGTTTATGAAGATATTTGAGGAAAACAACAAGTAGTATTAAAAGGTAGTTCTATTTAGGGGTATATGTCCTTGAAATATCTTACCAATCTAAAATCTCTTAATAAATCATCTTTGTTCTAAATTCAATGTTAAGTTTACCTGCTTTCTGCTAATATGTGGAGGTTTAATTTTAATAGCGCAATACTGAACATCCAGTTGTCTCTTTTCACTTAAGGGGAGAGCCACAGTGACATTCCAAATTAATATAACTGTCAGTGTTTATGTTGATTTAAATCACATAACAAGTTGAAGAATTTGTTTTATAAAATGCAATCATGCAAAAATATCCAAATAAATTACTTACTTGTGACTCTGTATTAAGCATTCACTGCTTCTCATGACCAACGTTTATTATAACATTTTTCTAGAACTTCATAACATCTTGACTGTATAAATTTGGAGAGACGGCTTCTATTTGTTGATAATAATGATTTATGGAATTTGGATTTGTATATAGTGAAAAACATTACTCTTTATTACCATTAAAAACCCGGTAAAAATATGTTTCTTTCTGTTGTAGAACAGTTGGTACTCCTTTTAACTGTCTTATTTTAAAAAATGTCAGGATTACGGAAATTGTGAAATGTGTACAAAACAAAAACGTAAATTACAAAATAAGATTTATGTAATTTTATGCTAAGCCCCATAATTTATATTATTTTCTAAATGAGTAAATTCTTTGAATTAATATTTAGTTCTTTCTCTAAAATTTGATTTCTTAGTTAATGAGCCTAATTTGCAAATAATTTGAAAAATGATTTGTGAATAATGCTGGGATATGAAAGATCATAGTATAATACTGTTTCCCTAGTTTGATTTCTAGATATAATACTTCATCAGGCTAGAACGGTTTACATGAAAATCTTTGCCTATGGATTTTTCAAGCTCCCTAGTTTTGCATAGTGTTACACACACATGCACACGCACGCACACTGTATTTGGTATTTTAAGCAGCTAGTTTCACAAACCTGTAAACATTTGAATCAAACAGCAGAGAGAATTAAAACGGAAAAATGTGACTGATTAAGTACATCTTGCTGTAATCTCCTGCTCTGCTGCCCCTTCCTTCTCCCCAAACCAATTGAAAAAGAAGATTGTAAGCAGTCTTGAAAAGAGTACAGAAGCAGCCCTACAGGATTCCTACAGGTGAGGGTAAACTGTGAACTGACGGGTTGAACAATGGATTGAACTTTGAAGCTAAAAATTGAAGACATTTGTTAAGAATAGCAAAAGGAACAAGAAAAAATATATAACCAGTAAAGGTGATGAATAATTTCTTTGATTATTTTTCAAGAAGCCAACTGACTATCTTAAGAATGTGTGTGCTTATGTCTTTCTCTATGTGGTTGGAAAGGTTCCCCTTGCAGTATTCGTAGAATGTGTACTTTAGCCCTCTTTCTTCTGCTCAGAGCACCTGCAGCTATTTGATTCCCCTTGACTGCGATGTTAAGATGAAATGTTCCACTGCTTTCCTTTGTGTTTAGTTACTTTCCTTACCTTTTTTTGAATTTTGATATTTCTCTTGCCTCCTGAGCATAGTCTCCTGCAGCAATATTTTCAGTGGCAAGGAAGTCTTCCACCATACTACTACTTCTGGCCAAGTCTAAGATCTTACCGTCTTACCTATATATCTGTACTATTTTTTCTCAAGGTGGCTCCAGCTGTCTTGGCATCATTCTCTTCTATAATTGCATCAGTACTGCTGGCCCTGAGATGCATAGAAGTCTCGGCTCCAAGTTGGAATGGGTTTGCATGAGTATGCAGTTACATCACTGCTCTCCTTGTGGTATGCGTGCCTTCTCACAGTGGCATCCACGCAGGGCCTGCCACCCTTTCCTCCTTATTTAAAACGGCACTGCTCTCTGAAGCCTTCTCTTGTTCAGAAAGAATGTTCTGCTTCTAGAAAATGGTTTGTTGTGTCTTAGCACTGGCCTGAGCCATGTTTTGTCTAAAGCGCAAGGAGTTATTGCTTTTCCTTGGATGACCTGTCTTATTCATGGACCTAGAACAAAACCAAGCTGTTACCAGCGTGATCAGAGGTCTCTCAGGAGCTCTTCAGGCATGTGATGAGCTCATTTAGCATTATAAAGGCAGCTAGGACCTGCTGGAGCTGGAATAGTGAATATTTTCCTGCTGTCTTCCTTCTTTCACTGCCTCTTTGCCTATTAGGGATGTTTAAGGGGCCCATTCATGCAGTTCAGCAGTCACCAGCTTCTTATCCCCTCTCACTGAATGGGAGGATTATCGCTTTTATGTGCAGAGATGGAGAATACGTTTATGCACATGCAGCAGAATAGTTTGGCTGCTTTGAGATCTAGCTTTGTGCTCTTGGGATCAGATAGTAAAGGGTCTGGAGGCCATGAGATAGGAGACATACTCATATTCCTCCCATTTCACTTGAAAAACTAGCAGGTGTTTTTTTGTGTTTGTTTTGTTTTTCAGGTACAAGTTTAAATTCCTCTAGAAGATAGTGCCTCTGCAAAATTCCACACCGATACTAAAGACTCATCGGTGTTGGAGATGCGCCATGCTCCTGGCCGTGCTTGTTGCTGAGAGTAAATTGTACGCTCCACGTGCTTTGGCTTTTCATTTCTGCTGCTTGTCCTAGATGCAGTGTTCAGCACTTTCTTCAGATGCCTGCATCTCTTTGAAAACTCTCTTTTAAAGAAACACCTTTTTGTTTCAAGGACAGAGGGGGAACTCCTCTATTTTTTAAAAAATTTCCAAGACATCAGATATCCTTTTGAATCTTCCCTGTGAACCTCGGAGAAAGTAGGCATTCCACCAACTCTGTCGTCTACCTTGCCGATAGGATCTACAAGCCAGACTCAGCAGCTTACCTCAGAGAAGGTCTGTTTCAGTTCTGTCCGTGGCAAATACTCACCGAAGCCCTGCACACCGGGGTATCTCTGTAGTCCCACGTTGCAGTGTCTGACTAAAGCAAGGCCAT